ATTTTGTTTAAAAGGAAGGAAAGGAAAGGAAAGGAAATTTCTCTAAAATTAGTGCCATTTTCCATATTGGTAGTGGTAGGCAGACTTTGTTACATAAGACTGAAAAGAATATTTAAAATATTTGAATAATTTCTCAAGTGTCAGGAAAGCCTGCTGGGAAGAATTCTGGACTGATGAGACTCTCTGCTGTCCAAGACAGACGTATTCTGCACAAAATTTCACATGGCATTTTGTGCAGAAAATCAGAAAAATCTGGAGGGGAGGATCTGAATTGTGCACAAAATAACCCCCCAAGTATGGCATCTTCTGTGTGGCAAATGCCATTTCCTGAACAGAAAGTGCTGTTTTCTTGCAAAACAAAAATTGAAAAATTATGCCAGACTACAAATAGTTTTTGACAACTCCTGTATATGAAAACTTTCTGACAGCAGAATTAAAATTGCTAAAATTACTTGTTGCTTCCTTCAAGAATTAATTTAATGAAGAATTACATCCTATAGTGAGGCTAGAGGCTAGACATAAAGACATACACACACAGCAGTAATATAAAGATGGTCTGGTTTTATAGAAATGCAAAAAAATAATCTCTGGAAGCTGTAAAATTTGGAGGAGGGGATGAAATAATGACCTAGTTTTCAAAGGATGAAAATACTTTTCACCCCTGTGCTGTCTTGTTTACCACATGATGACAAACCCAAGTCAGAAGTGACACCCCAAACTTCTGAACATCTGACAGCAGACAGCTACAGGGCTTCAATGTTTCATGAGTTTCCAGTAGCAACACATTTTATTAGGAATTTGCATAACGTGTTCATGAGCAACCATGCAGCATTTTAAAGTGTGTTTATTGTAATGATTGCTTTTTAGCTATATTTTATTTTAATCTACCAGTATGTTGTGAGCTATATGGGAAAAAAGGTGATGGACGGAAGGAAGGAAGGAAGGAAGGAAGGAAGGAAGGAAGGAAGGAAAAGTCATTTGTGCAGCATTACAGAACACTAAATATAGGAATCAATCACAGGTGCAAAAGTGACAGCAGTAAAGCAGCTACACTTGTGCAGTGTTGTATGCAAACTTGCTGACACTACTTGCTGACCCACAAACAAATCCCACTCCCACTATTTTTATTACTATACAGAATCTGCATTATTTTGATTGCGATGCTATGTTGAACCCCATGTTGTTGTGTGCCTTCAAGTTGTTTCTGACTTATGGCAACCCTAAGGCGACCCTATTATGTGGTTTTCTTCGCAAGATTTGTTGCGAAGGGGTTGCTATTGACTTCTTCTGGACTGAGAGTATGTGACTTGCCTAAGATCACCCAATGAGTTTCTATGGCCAAGCAGGGTTTTAAATCCTTTTCTCCAGAAACCTAGTCCAACATTCAAATCATTATATCACACGGGCTGTCCAAATCCCATTACCTAACCACATATTCCCCCTCTTAGCTCTTTGTGTCATGCTGCACCCAAAACATATCCTTGTAACCTATGTGGAAGCCTCCTGACCTTCATAAAGAGTACTACATTCTACATTCTAATGATTCATTAAATATTAGAACAAGTTTACTAAGAACTTAAAGAAAGGTGGCTGATAAATGCCTAAAACAAGCAAGCAAATTTGTGGAGCCATCAAAATAATCCACATGCATTGTGCAGTTTTATCAAATCTACATTAAAAGTGCACCTCTTTTTTTCTTTTTCTTTTGATTACACTGAAGCTGTGGAACTTTGTACAAGAGATTTTGGCCTTACAAGGAAGAAAGGGATAAAACTGCATCACTTCCTTTCCCCCAAAAAACTATAAATTTTGGCTGACATTGAATATGTGCTTTTATTTTCAGTGTGCCCTTGAACATGATGGCCACCATCACCATGGTAACATTTGGCAAGAGTCTTACAGACTAATTGTTTGCATGTTTATTCAGATGTAGATCTCATTGAGTTCATTAGGAGCTTATAATTAGGCAGGCATGCATAGGATTGCAGCTGAAGAGCACAATTTTTAAAACCTATAACCGTTAACATAATTCGCCTTGGCTCTTGACAACAATGGATGCCTTTTAAAATCGAAATCCTAAATATATCTGCACAGAAATAAGTTCCATTGATTTAATGGGGATTAGGATTAGGAATATCAGTACAGAACTACATCTGAAACAATCCCACTGCCTTCAGTGTACACAACCGCATGCCAAGCACACACTGCAGTTTACGGCAAGGCGTTTTACCAGCTCATTTCTCAAGCACTTTTTTTCCAACGGCTTCCCAGTGGCTGAAGCAAAGGAGTTAGAGTAGAAGTTCACAAATAAAGCTTATGGTTTGTTGGTTTGGGTTTTTTTTATATATATAGCTGCTAAGGTCACAGTGAGATCCATCAGTCATTTTTCCTTGGGCTGGGATGTCTACATTTATGTAGTCATAAATCACTGCAGATAAAATACTTGCAAGATATTACTTTGTTGTTTTTGTTGTTGTTGTGTGGCTTTCTTGCTTGATAAGCATTTATCCAACTATAACTGTCAGCCTCTCTAAGGATATACAAACTTCTATTGGATTGCTCTGGTATGAAAATCATTTGGGGATATGCAACAGTCTTTAAATTCCAACACATCCCCCGCTCATGATTGATAATTTAATTTCTTCACACCGGTAATCATAAAAGATTGATTGATTTCAGTTTCTACTGTGTATGCTTTTATTATAAAGTGTATAACAAATGTTTGGCCTTAGGCAACAAGACCATAAATGTCAATACTGTGCAAGCATAATTCCAGGGTTTTCATGTTGTTGTTTTTTAAAGGAAAAAGCTTCTTGCCTTTGCGTCATGTAATTGCTTTCAATGAGTTCTGTATCTGTCTTATGATATTGCAGGTCAGTGTTTCATTCCTATTTTGGTATCCTAACTTTGAAGAAGACTAAATAAAAATAAAGTTTACTCTAATAACTGCCCCGATGAGATAACCCTTTTTAGGAAGTGTAATTTTAATGGGGGGGGGGGCTATTTTAAATGGCTCTTTCAAACAACATCCCTTTTATTTCCTTTCTTATAATAGAGAATCCAATATATATGATGCCATTGTCAAATAATGACTAATTTAGGTGCTTTGAAAGTCAACCCAATTCATTCATTATTTACTTACAGGTGCTAGTGTCCTTTTCTTTGCATATTCCTTCTTTTTTTATTAAACTCTATTTCCTATAAATTATTAAACACTATTTCCTACTATTTAAGGAATAATATACAGTGGAACCTCTACTTACGAATGCTTCATCCTACGAAATT